GTCGCCTTTCCCATTTGTATTCTCTAGGCATGAGGGAGTTCCTATTTTCGTCTAGTCGTTTTTAATGCTACTCCCATCGCGGCCATCGCCCCTTCTAGCTATGGTCATGAGGACGCGATCCCTGTCGCGGTTTGCTGGCAGCTGCAGGCCGCTGTGTGTCTCCAGTCTAAGCCGCTAGTAGGTTGGGGAATGTCTTTGGGTTCGACTATCTCTTGAAATTTGATGAGGTTCTGGAGTTGCTCTCAGCGTGTGAATTCCAGAAATGGACTAATTTTCATTACTCCTAATTGATTAGCCTCATCAGTTGCTGTGTGCGCGATTAGTAGTACATAGTCGTATTCTCTCGAGGTAGAAAATTAGTGGTTTGGAAGTACCCTGTCGGGACTCGCTTGACTCTGTCTCTTGATATTCCTCAGTTGGGTCATCAAGAGATATCCCTGCGTCCGATATTTGTCCGTCCAAGCTGCGACGGAAAGTCCACCCCCACTTCCTGTCAAAATGGGCACGTCATTCGAACCTTGGTGGAGCTCTGAAGACATTGATGCGGGGGTTCGGGCGGGAACGGTAGTAAGGAGGTGTGGACTGTTGACGTCTTCATACGACTATCGACTTCTCGCTTCGGATAACTCCAGTCAACTCGCGATATAGTTTCCTGGGAGATTTTATATCTAAATGAATATTCAGTAATTTTGGTAATGTAATGGTTGGAATATATGTTTGCTTTCCTCAGCTGAGCTTGGGAGTTTTCTCACTAGTTATATACGAGTTCGGGCGGAGGTGTACAGAAACTAATGAAAATATTCAAAAATTTCCTCAAATTCTCGTATTGTCACCATCCAATGTAGTTGACCATGTGCATATTTCCCTTCAGTGGTTGAAGTAGATGATAATAGTGAACACGTGTATGATTTCCATATCAGCCGTGTCTCTGGTTTTGTCGGTGTTCTAGTGCTTATAGAATTATTGCTATCACTCCTACTACACTTCAATGATGCCCACGTTGAGAGTCGCTCGCTCCTAAGAGGCTCTCGTAGGTTCGCTATGGAAGACTCCACGTACCGGCTTTCGAGACGAATCAAGCGTTCGTTGATCTTGATCCCGACGAGGAAGGTCGACGAATTCGCGTGAAAGTGCCTGGGTTTGTTGCCAGGAATCGCGCTGTGCATGGAGATCGCGTTGCGGTAGTTTTTACAGCGTTACTCGTAGTGGAGGATCTTTGTTAGGCCCGCCTTATGTGGAAGGCATATAAGCGGGAAAGTAGCAGTAGTGACAGCACTGAGGAAGATGAAGTGGCTGCAGTGGGCTGCATAGAGGACGCCAGGGCCCGAGTGGTGGCGGTAGTATTAGAGTACTTATATAGGGGTATCGGAAAGAATGGGAAACTATCGTTATTTCTCAGCGTATGTGTATATTAGACAGAATAGGTCTGCGTTATTTGATACTCACATGCGTTTTTTGTGTTGGTGCTTCCCTGCTGCTACGTGAATTCTTAGCCACACTCCCGTGTCGGAAGGGGTTTATACGGTGTTCATAGTCCACGCTTATCCAGGGTGATCGGAAAGTTAAAACCGAACACCCTCGTAATTTCTCAGGAATGATATGTGCGTTTATTCATAGGCGCTTTTTTCGAACAACCCCTGTAGTAGATAGGGGCGAAGGCCTTCTTGAAGGGTGGCCGATTTGTTATCGTCGTGCAATATGCTTCTTTTGAAAGCATGTAGTATGCGAAAGTTTGTCGTCCAGAATTGTCTTGGGCTGAGGATCGAATCTGCGAGAGTTGTTAGGTAACGAAGCGGTGCGAGACGCCCATTGTTGGTGTAGTGCGGCCAGGGGAAACCAAGGTCCAGCCGAGAGACCAACGCTTGCCTGCTATGGACTTAGTTCAACCGTAAGAAGGTTTGATGAGCTCTTGTGAAGGATTGTCAGATTCGCTATGGCGGCGGAGGAGGAGTCGGCTCAGTTGGTGGCTTGTGAGATCGTTGAGTGGGAGGAGGCCAGCGTGAACCCGAAGTGCAGACTGGTAAGGTTAGTTGGAAGTAGCGGAAATGTGGTATGGAAATTGGATTTTATTGGTCTATTGAGAATCCCGCTATGTAATCATAAGAGTCGATGAAACGCTAGTGTGGTTGAGATTTTTAATCACGGTTGAATTGTATGAGCAGCGGTAGTTGGAGTTTCTAACTATGGCTGGATTTCATCGCCTGGGAGATTTTCTTAGGTCTCTGATGTAGGTTCGCTAGAGGAGTTTCCTATACAGTGTTGGAGTAGGAATATATGTTCGCTTTCCTCACCTGAGCTCAGGAGTTTCCTATACAGTGTTGGAGTAGGAATATATGTAATCGCTTTCCTCACCTGAGCTCAGGAGTTTCCTATACAGTGTTGGAGTAGGAATATATGTAATCGCTTTCCTCACCTGAGCTCAGGAGTTTATAGAGTTCGAGTAGAAATGTACAGAAGCCAATTAGAATTGCTCGAAATTTGCTCAGAATTTGGGAATAAATGACAAGCTTCGGGAAAGACTAGTAGCCTTCTATGAACATCTATATCAGCCTCGGTATGCGTATCGTCTTAGGTGGAGCACTTGGGGGGAGTGGGAACGGGAGTAGCTGAACACCGCGCTGTGATGGAGCGATATGGCCTCACTAGTGTTGAGTATAGTGAGGAGATCGAGGAGGAATTGAAGGCGAAGTAGTGATGGGTGATCGCAGTGGGAAGTATTCATTTTGCTTCGCTCCGCCTGGATTTTATCAATACGTGTGAATTTGCGGAGGAATATATGTTCGCTCTCCTCAGCTAAGTTTAGGAGTATGTATACGAATCTGGGTAGAAATGTACAGAAATCAACAAGAATTTTCCGAAATTTTCGTAATTTTCGTGTGCATATTTTCCCACATCGGGCGCGAGTGTGGCGATGTTGGGCTCGAGTGATCTTGCAATCTTGCATTTCCTCAACGGAGGGTTTTTTGTTGGTTTTAGACTTCCCTCATCTGAAGCAGTAGTTAATGCCGCACTGAAAGGGCAGGGTCCTAGGAGGTGGGATTTGAGGAAATGTAAGGGAGAGCAAGATGAGCAAGATTTGTGGTATATAGTGTGTTTTGTGATTAGCTCATCGTGTGGTATCGATCGACCCGCCGAGTGCTCGAGATCTGGACGATGCGCTTTCGGTGGAGGTGAAGACTGGGGGAAGGTTGAGAATAGGAGTAGGATGCTGGGATGGACGTCACCTTCTGTGCATTTTGCAGTTGCACGCATACACATACGTTTAGCTAAGTTTGAGCAGATGGCTCTTGTGAGATCTAATCGGCCGTTAACTACAGAAGTTGAGTTACCCAGTCACACATCCATAGTTTTCTGAACATCTACCTCGGCGACAATAGTCTTAGTGTTGCCGCGTATGGCTAGGAACATATTCTTCGATCAGTTTCCCTTATGTGAATGATGTCATCATTTTTTTATTGTTATTGTGAAAGTTAGCTGGCTGCGGGGATCGAACCGGGGACCTCTGGGTTGGTCGTCAGGTTCACGTGGCAGATGTGTCGCATTTTGTAGCGGCTCAATCTCATCTGGATAGGGAGGCGGCGAGGAGGGCGATCACTGTGTATATGCCCCATAAGGTGAGTTGCGAGAAAGTTGGTATTACACGCATACCGTAAATTCTTCAATTCAGACCTATCCTATGCTGCCGAGGCACCTGTCGGAGAACCTGTGTTCGCTACTTCCTGGGGAAGACCGTCTGGCATTTAGCGTTTTCTTTACGTTGGATGCTGCTACGGGTGAGCTTTTTTACCGCGGGTGGGGAAATTTATGTTCGCTGCCCTCAGCGGAGCTCAGAGATTATATACAAATCAGTGTTGAGAAATCAACCAAAAATTGCAGAAATTTTCGTCAACGTTTCCTTATTGTTGCCGACACATGTAGTTGACTGTGTACATATTGGAGTTTTACGAGCCGTAATATGAAAAAGATATTTCACGACTACTGTATATCA